TGCTACAGGTTGCAAACAATTTTAATTAAGAATGTGTCTACGTCACAGCTATACTAATACCAAGCACATTGTACAGGTTCCATTATATGGAAGATTTTTAAATTTGATTTTATGATTTGATCAACTACATTTCTCGCCTTCAATTTTAACGCATTTCTTGAAAATATATCAAAATATTGTTCATTCCTTTTCTAGAATTGAAGTAAGTTTAATGCGATATTTTGAATAGTCTCGCTTGTGTACCATATAACAATAATAAACAAACAAACAAAAAATAAATATTATGCCATGTGTGCATTGTGCTTTCAAACCTTATAAGACAAACGCTGCCAGTTCTGATAAGATGGTGAATTAAAGCGGACAGTACTTGAGAAATAAGAATGTGAAGTCCGAGACTATTTTTACCCATCCGAAATAAAATATTGAAGAGGACCGGATAAACGTTTCAACCTTCATTAGGGATCCAACCCGTACAAGGCATAAGGTATCGTGATAATGCTATTTTCCTGTCTAAATATAATTTTCATTTTAAGATTTAACCATTAGCAATTTTCTTGTCAGATAATACCCCTGTTTGTCGTGAGTCAGCTGTCTTTATTTTGTCTTAGTCGACTATTATTTTCTTAATCAAAAACCTTGCCACTGGCTATGCACTACTCGCTATCCAAGAGAACATTCACATCGAGAAGAGCCGAGGTCTAGCAAGGCCGAGACCTAAATATGGCGGACCTACATGAAAGGAAGAACGCCTAATGCTTTAATGGTCTCTCAATGAATGTCAATGGATGTCATTGGGAGACCATTAAAGGATTACGCGGTTTTCCTTTCGTGTAGGTCCGCCCTATTTAGGTCTCGGCCTTGCTAGACCTCGGCTCTTCTCGATGTGAATGCTGTCCAAGGTGATACAGTTTTAGGCCCCATTCACAACAGCCGATCCACGGAGCTGTTTCAATTTAGGTTTAACTGCTAGGCCCCTGCAGGGATGGCGCGTGTGGTAGGTGGAGAGATCATTAGGGGGATATGTGAAATTCTTTTTAAGTGGGATCGGCCATGTTTGATCTTCGGACTAGTTAGTCCGAGGATCATCGGTTGTGAATGTGGCCAATGCGGCCTTATTATATTGTAAGAGCTGTATTACCGAGTTCCTACATATTGAACTCCCTCGTATGGGGCGTACATGTACAAGTACCTGAAACAAATACAATCATTTGCTTTCAGCAAGGAATTTTCAACCTTTTTTGTAAACAATATGTGCTGTTCAATACCTGCACTGACAGTCATCTCAACAACATGGACAAAAAGCTATCCATCTTATATACAAATATGAAATGCAAAAACGGCAAGATGAGTTATGTTTCTCGGTCTCTCCATATGTCTTGTGAACAGCAAAAACAGTGACCTGCGTATTTTGAGTATAAGATATGACAATTATATATATATATATATATATATATATATATATATATATATATATATACCTCAAATCTGAATCAACGGTACGATTTCAGGTACGGCGAAATGAATGTAGTTTTTCGCTGTCTTTTTTTTTCGGCATCTTAATCTTTTTATCGGATTTTAGATAGTTGCTTTCCTTTATCCTTTGATGAGAAAGTCGGGTATATTTAAGGCAACGATACCCTACTGACTTAGCCTAACTATTAAGGTAAAAAAAAGAAAGAACTGAATTAAAAGAGAAATTGTAATCCTCATTACTTATCAGAAATGCTTCCCGGGCGATGACAAAATCAGCGAAAGTGTGCGCCCACGCGCATATCTGAGTGTCCACTTACACATACGAGTTTTTTTACATAGACAAAAAAGAGCGAGCTTTCAATTAACTTACCTCTGCATTCATTTTGCAGGTTATATGCTATGGTACTTGTTGCCTATCTCACCGTCTCGTGAGAGAAGTGCATAAACATCCGTCCGAAAACGATTAACATACATTTTCTTAACAAGCTTAAGGTGTCGTCAGGAAATTTGGGACTGTGGCATGGCTTCTAAAACGCATGTCACTATAACCTTGGACAAAAGTCTTTTTTTCTGTATGGTAAGTGTATATGTACAAAGTAAAAGGAAACGGACTACGGTTCCAAGCGGACTACCATTCTTGTCACGCGGACATACTAAGAATACATTAAAAGATACTTGCCGTTTGTGACTTGGAACCGTGGATTTGTGGTTAGGCTAATGACTTCAACCGCAATTTCACGATGGTTTGGCTGGCTTTTATCCTGGTTACTTGCTATTTACATACACGTTATTTTTCTTGACTGCAAACTATTTTCAGTAATCCCAAGTCAAAATAAAATAATAATTTCTCATAAATGAGAAAAATGTTCATTAGTACAGGTAGCTTGACACAGGTAGTTGGATCATATTTTACATGTACTCAGTAGTAAGGTTATTTACTGGCAGGATTTTTTTCTTGCCGTTAGTTTCCGATTAACCAAGTTGTAGGGCTTCATCAGGCTGATGAAAGCATATGGAAGCATCATGAAAAAATTGCAAAAAAAAAAAAAAAAAAAATATTCCGGCGAGATTCTCGCTGGACGAGAACATGTATACCGGGCCGTGGCGCAATGGACAACGGGTCTGCGTCAGAAGATTCCAGGTTCGAGTCCCTGCGAGCTCGTATTTTTCTCTTTTTAAAGAATGAATGAATAATAGCGGTGGAAACAAAAAAGGCTGTGAGCCCCCATAAAAAGTGTGACCCTCCCCCCAAAAAAAAGAAAAAAAAAAAACGACTTTGGCCGTATATGACCCTCCACTTAATTTCAGTTACCAAGGCGATGATGAATTATAGTGAATAACATTAAAGAAATTAAAATAAGTAGTCTAGGAACAATTTCACTCAACTGATATGAAACACATTAAAAAAAGTTTTCAACGTCTTCAGGGATCCAATTTGCGTAAGAAATATTAGCATTAATTTTCGAGTATGTATATTTGCTCTTACAGATGGTAAATTTGCTAAGCGAGGAAATAAATCACCCAAAAATGTACAAACAGCGCCTACCTCGACGAGGACATATACCTGTATTGTTTGGAGGACCAATTAATCTTTATCATTGCGAGATGAGATCATTGTGAGCCTTGAACACAGCAAAAAGGCTCATATATTTCAGTCGGCGCCACAATCATGCTGTCTGGTAATGGAAATGAGTAGTTTTTAATTCGGAAAAACTACGTATTGTTTTCAAGACTTTATCAGATAATTCTGATGAGTCAATTGGCTGGTTAATGAAACGGATTCCTGTATGATTGACTGATTGGCTTAATATATCAAAAAGCCATATTAATAAACGCACAAACGAAAAAAAAAACAGGGACTAACTCCAATATTACAAACTTCTGAGTGCGGACATTGACTATGTATAATGACGAAGGCTCTCTTTTACACAAGAACTTGTATGCATTTCGCCTTTAAGGGTGGTGGTGAACGTGCCCTGTTCAGAACAGTCACCGTCAGCAGTGGCGTATTTGTGTGTGTGTGTGTGTGGGGGGGGGGGAGGGGGGGTCAAAGGGGGGGGGTCCTGAACCTCTCCTTCGGTTACTGAAAAAATTAAAATTTGACTAGCTGAATTATTGTTCTAAACCCTACCAAATGGCACCGTTCCTTCTCCAAAACACCAAAACGTCGTCAGTAATTAATGGTAACGGAGCGAGCGCGATGGATATAAAGAAGTCTGAGTCGCCGTCATCACTGTCATATTCAGGGCGAAGAAGCGTGCTTGTTGACTTAAGTCGCTGTCGGAACTTTGAAACTCGGATCGAAAAAAACGCAACCTGTGTTTTGTTGAGCATGCTAAATGCAGGGGCGGAGGCATATTTGAAGGGGGGAGTCGACCCCGACCCCCCCCCTGCTGAAGGGCCCCGAAAAAAAATGGCATTTTAGAGGGCGAACGGTGCCATTTGTTACGGTTTAGAACTATGATTCAGCTAGGCAAAATTCTTATTTCAAGAGGGGATCATACGTCGAAGGGGGGGGTCTATAAATGTGTCGTTAACCTAGGACCCAATATACTGGTTCCTAGCTGTAATTTAAGTCTGATATTTCAATTTCAATAAACCAGTGTGTCCATTTTGATACGTATAGGTTACACCGTGAAATATCATCAAAGATACCTTTAGTGACCTTTAGTGGAGGCAGCTACGGCATTTAGTTTTTAAACAGTTTCCACATATTTTGATACCTTTATACACATCTACTGGTTCATCTACAATCCCTAACAGAAAACATAATACAAGCTAAAATACTTCAACCTCACCTCCTGATTTTTTAAAAATTCTCTTCAACAAACTGTATCAATAACAGAAATCGTACAGATATACGAGTATACAATACAAAAATCATGTTACTGTGTACTTACAGTATCGGGCCGCTGAGCCGCCATACATACACAGTGTTAATATTTCAGCGTGGCTTCCTTTGCCCTCTAGACGAGAATGCAGAGTTGTGTGGACATTTGAGGACCGCCTTGATGTGTCACCAGGTTGACACGACAACAAAGCTGCACGTGAGACAGTCACTGTGACTGCACGAAACAACGCCAGATGTGCGTTTTGTGTGCCATTTAAAAAAAAAAAAACCTTCGTCTTGAAGGGTCTAATTAAATTACTTTCTCTACTGGTATGCTTTATTAAACTGGACTATTAATCTTTATATCAACCGCGCGGCAGATTTAAGATTTTGAGAAAAAGGAACTTTTTTTGTGAGTGGAGGGGGAGGGGTGGAGGGGTAATTTGGATTAATTTGTTATAATTTGAGGGGGGGGGGGCATTTGTCTTGGAAGTGGTGTTGGTGTTGGTGGTGTTGGTGGTGGTGGCTGGGGGGCTGGGGGGAGGGGTGAATCCGCCCGCGAACAAAGAACAATATTAGCAATACGAAAAGACAATCTACACTGACTCGTAAGAAAGATTTGAAATGCCTACGCATCCAAACTAAATGAAATACTAGACAAATAATTCCCCAAAATATATTTATTGAATCTGTTTCTTAAGGTATAGAATGTTATATTACATAATGCTCAGTGAACCAATAAGAAAGGAGGTAAAACGCTTCTATTTGAAGGGATGTCACACGTACGCGTAAAATATATCAGTAAAATACACCACAGAATGAATACAGTATATTCATTGTTGTAAGAATCTTTCATGCTATAAAACTTAAATGACAAATTATACATCAAATATAATTATCATAACTTGTTTAGCAACAGGCACATGACGTCGATTCGATGTCAAAGTGACACTGTTTCGAAATTATGATGTCAGAATGATACTAAGTGACTGTCGGAAAAATGTAAAACATTCCCAACCTAAGGTATATAAATATATGTGCCCATTTGTAGCACTGAAGATTAAAGCTCATAGTAAAGAAAAGCAACATACGAAAGTCACAGAAAGAAAAAATTAGTTTCAACTCTACTGCAACGCATCGTCAACAATCAACCAACCCTGAACAATTTACGTGAAAAGCGCTGGCGACACTCGGGTAATTTCGGCTGTTTCCGTCAATGTACGGCGTCACCCGAACCTAACCGAGTGGCAACGCCACGTCGAAACAACCTCAACCTCAGCAAGTACATCTATAGTTTATCTTCAGCGTGCCGGACAGCACCATGTCGCAAGGTCGCTTTATAACACACGCGGACTTCCCGTTGCAAGAAGTCTGGAGGAGTTTCGAGACAGAAGGAAGAGGTGAGCAGTATTCGGAGATGCCGAAGGTGGAGCAGGCGTTGACGATGTAGACGGAGCCACCTTGGCAGTTGAGGTAGACGTTGGGTACGGTGTAGAGGTAGGAGTACATGGAGACGCCGTTCCCGGTGATGGATGAGCAGGCAGAGGTTGACACGTGGGTCGTTTCTAAAACAACAGAAATGAAAAGTTAATGAGGGTTATTCGATGATATAGCGCTATACTGGTATGTACTGTATATATATATATATATTGCAGGTAGGTCGATGAAATGTGGTCTTTGGCAAAGCTTGATGGTAGAACACGTCCACATTACGTTCACATTATGTTCAATAAGCATATGTGATTACACATATACATTAGGTACCTTCTGGCCTTTCAAAACCATAACGAAGACTACGCGCTGTGAGAAAACTAGCCAGGGAAATATCTGTGAAAATTTAGTGTCAAATGCATCTCTATGTGGCCCTGGAAGCGGATAATGATAACCTACCTCGACAGGGACGGACGCAGGGGCCGAGGTTGCATGCCGCTGTCTCCGTGTCTGAGCCAACGCAGGGCAGTAGAGGGTTGACGCACTGGCGACGTCTGCCCTGGATGCCAGGGCCGCACGAGGCGGAACACCGACTCCACTGCCCCCATTCTCCCCAGCCGGTAGGAACTGAAAATGATAAATTTTGTAGGAATAAGTTTTTTTCGTTTTCTCTTGTATATTGATTAATAAAAGAGTAATAAAGCCACTTTTACACTGGGCGGCGTCTTTTTTGGGTCCCGTAGTACGGCACCTTTTGGGAGTTAAAATATTAATACTTGTCGACAACTGGCCGATCATTGAGCATTCGTTCTACAACCACAGTGATGCCACTTTCATGGTCGCACAAAGGACGCCGTCCATTGTAAAAGAGGTTTTAATCGTTACTGAATAGACTGAGTGATTTTTACTCGTCTTTAGTTAACAAAAACACGGTTAGTCTCTTTGGACACAATTAATTGACAACTTCTCCGCTATAAAATACCCTTAGGAACATACCAAAGAAACGTGATTGCGTTAAATGTCATTGTGTTATATGCGATGGGTGACTACATTGAAGACTTCACTTTTTTTATGTTTAGTGCGAATGTGCTTTATAGTGGGAATGCATGGCAATAAATTGTTTCAATGTTATTGTATGACGCCAAAGATTTTTTATTGATGAATGTATTAGGCAGCAGAAGGATATTAATTTTGAAATATAATAATGATAATAATAATAATAATTATAAAACAAAACTGCTTAAGTGAATAATCCCAACTTTTACATGTAATTTGTTTCCATTTTTAACTGAAATCACTCCCCTTAATATCGACTGATAATAATAATAATAATAATAATAATAATAATAATATAAAATCTTACCCAAGCAAGGAAACACATTGCACGCCTGTGTCTCGACATTAGGGCCCTGACAGGGCAGACCTCCGTGCGCTGGTGCAGGCATGGCACACTCTCGGGTACGGGACTGTACGCCGCCGCCACAGCTAGCAGAGCAGGCGCCCCACCCACAACACCACGGCCCCCAGTTACCGTTCACTGTTAAAATTGAAAAAAATACGTATTATTGGATTGAGAGTATGAATAAACTGAAATCAATAATAATAATAATAATAATAATAATAATAATACTTTATAGTAATAGTTTATTTTGGTCGAAAATTACGGGATCTAAACAAAGTGTCAGAGAGAGGTGCCTGAAATCGTACTCAACAAAATAAAATTATGGTGACTGTTCACAAGCTGATTTACCACTTTAAAATCATTCAAAGCCTCTACATGGATCCCATAAGTGTTGCATTATGCAATTAATAAAAATATAACACCTGACAATCCATGTCACTTTTAAATCGAAAGCGAAAGTAAATATAAACAGCACAAAAGTATATCTATACAGTACAAAAGTATATGACTATGCAGCTTCTAAATCGAAAGCGAAATTACTTAAAATACTACCTGGGCAAGGGTTCTCGTTACATGAAAGGATATCGACCTGTGGGCCTTGGCAGTCCTTGCCGCCGTTCTGGGGGCCAGGGGCATTACAGTGTCTGGCCCTCACTGTGGCGCCACCGCCGCAGCTCTTGGTACAGGCCGTCCAGCCATTCCATACGTTCCAGTTACCGTCGACGATTACTGTCAAGAAAATAAATAAATGAAAAAATAGATAAATAAATAAATAAAATTTAAAAAGCATGTATTTTGCACATACCAAATACATTTATAAATGGTTGACTTTGGTCTTAGCGCCATCCTTCATTTCGTTTATACCAGATGCCAAATGAATAAATAAATAAAAAAAATAATAAATAAATAAACATAGATCTGTAACATGCCAGATGTAGGTATAAATGCCTGGCTTTGTTCTTGGCGACATTCTTTAGTGCGTTTATTCCAGCTTCTAATGTCCATTGAAGTCTCCACAGCTGTCCGTCTCCCCCTCCCCCCACTGTTCAGCACAATGTCCATCTCCAGTGAACAAAAAAAAAAAAAAAAAAAATGAAATGTGCATTTGTAAGTGTCATAGTAATTTAACGTCAATCAAATCACCACTGAATATCGTTTAAAATAAATATAACTTGTCAAATTCCTCTTTACCTAGACAAGCCTTATTCATGCAATCGGTATAATCTATGGCTGGTCCCTCGCAGGGTCGTCCACCGAAAGATGGCGCTGGTGCGTTACAAATTCTACCACGTGACTTCCTTCCAGGACCGCACTCGGCGTCACAACCAGTCCACGCTGCCCAAGCACCCCAGTTGCCGTCAATAGCACAGGGACCTGTGATGAAATGTGATATAAATAAACCATCTCAAGATAAGAAGGAATATTGAATACTGAAGACCTTTGTGCTTCCAGGCTCTACCAATGACCCTTTTTTTCTTGCTTTTTCTCTACGCCCATCTGACAACACGGTGTGAGGCGCCACCTATATTGATTTTTTGGATGTTATATATTCCAGGGTTTATTTTTTAAGCAAATGTGCAGTTCATTGGAAAAAAATGGACATATTTGGGGACTCGAAAAAGACAAGTCCAAAGACGCATTGACGTACGCTTGAAACCTGGCCCCAGTTTCACAAGAAAATTTAAGTCAGTTCCCTGGCTTAGCTGACTAGGGTTTCCATAAGAGTGCTGTAACACTGTGCCTGATAGGGTGAGATGTGGCCATGTGACCATGTAACCTTGGTAATTAAGTTCTTAACCAGGGAACCCAATTTTTATGTTAACGTTGAAATTTAAATGCGTAGCACGCGATGCAAAATGTCGACAAATAGGCCTAGGACTTCCCGTTGACGACAATTACGTTTCCCATGTGGAAATAATGGCGAGTTTTCCAATATTATAACAGATTGGGGAACAATGCATATACATGAATCTCTAAATGTTTCCACCCGTGTATCTTATTGAAGCAAAGCTAGGGAAATTCAGTCAAAACAATACAACATACTTAAAAAAGCTAAAAAAAGTCTATAAAATGGAAAAAATCAGCACAAAACGAAACCCAACGCAAGGAAACTAAATCAAAAAAGTGACTTAAGAAAAGCATAAAATTTTGAATGAGATACAATTAAATCTAAGTTAATAAACGTATGTACTGGTTTCAAATTTCTCAAAACTTAAAAGTTGTATTATCAAAAGATGATAAGCAAATAGAATTTACTCACTGTACAAACATACAGGTACATGTATTAGTACAACAAACAAACAAACAAACAAACTGACTAACAGACAGAAAGACATACACACAAGAAGGACAAGGCCCACTCACCCAAATTGCAAGCACCGATTTCTAGGTCAGGCCCAGGGCAAGTGAGACCACCAAAAGCGGGGGCGGGAGAGTTACAAGCGCGCACGCGCCTCCGCTCTCCTGGTCCGCACTGCGCAGAGCACGCGCTCCAAGAGTTCCACTGTCCCCAGTTCCCGTTAATTGGACAATTACCTGAGGATTATGAGGGATTAAATAGATTAATACGTAAAAGGTATGGCCCTGTAAGCAACCTCAAGTAGAGATCGTAAGCAATGAAATTTGAAAAAAAAAAAAAAAAAGATTTTGGGACAGAGCAAAGAGAATAATACAGATGTGTATATACTTTTTAGCTATGGGAAGAAAATAATAACTGAAGTACAAAGAGGTGAATGGGCATATGTTTAAAGATTAACAGCTATCCCCAAAATTAGAATTTATTAAATAAGTAAACGTTTGACACAGATTAAGTATTATGGTATTTTTTGGATTTGGATTAGGTATTTGACTAGATTAGGTATTGTTAGAAATGAGTAGTTTGTTAAGAAGATAGAGATTTGGTCAAATGGATTTTAGCATCGAAGTTCCAGTATCCAAACATACTGCAATCATCGGAAAATTAGCAAAAACAGTCACTTTGTTCAGGCACCCCATCTTACAATCTCAAAACCCCAGCGTTTTCATTTCTCTGATGGATCTTACCTAGATTACAAACAAGCAGTTCTACACTAGGCCCCTGACACGGAGCGCCGCCATATTGTGCTGGGGGAGAGTCACAAGTGCGCGTGCGCCGTTGCTCCCCAGTTCCACAAGAGGTGGAACACGTGCTGTATTCTGTCCAAGGACCCCAGTTACCATTCACAGGACAGAAACCTGTTAGATATATTAATAATTAATTGGTTAGGTCTTCTATTAACGTATTCTGGACTATTGAACATATATTTTACCACATTTACAGCTAATGATTTTATTAAAACGCAAGCAAAATTCTGACAATAATAAAGCTGCATTTGCCTACAGCTACGGTTGCTTGCTCTTTTTAATTCATTTGATCTCTCGATACTGTTTTCATTAAGCTTTTTCATTATAAACGGTTGTCTTTTGCGGCTATGGGCGGTTAAATCATGTTTCGTAAACCGATAGAAATAGCTTTAGCTTTCTAGATTTTTTCTTAGCTGCATTTAAAATGCAAAATGCATACCAAAGAAAAGAAAATCATATGCATTTTTTGTGTAAAGCCTAAAGGAACAGATAATGAGATTTTGGTTTTTTTTATAGACATATTTTTAATTTCGATAGCCTTTACTTATATATATCCCCGAAGATTATTTTATTGCTACTGAACAATGCGACAAACTGTTCTGGATTTGTAAATTGCAAGGAAATTTGAGAAATATGTTATGTAACTCTCAGCTTTTGCTGAGAGAAAACTTACTAACTAAATGAATAAATATATAAACAAATAATTAATGAGCAAACAAACAAACAAACAAGCAAACAAACAAACAAACAGACAGACAAACAAACAGTGAATAAACAAACATACTAAAACCAAATAAAAAAGATAAAGACATAAGTAAAGCGGCTCTCTGTGTGATAAATTCGGATATTTTTGAAATTGTTTGTGTGGAACGCCTTATGCAAGTTAATTTATAGCCTTCCTTCGAGTTTTTATCCCAGAAGCTGTTCCTTTAGGACCAGGATGTAAAGGGCCCGGGTGTAAAAAGACCCGGATGAGGGGATGCAGATTGGTCTATGAAATCACCTAGATTGCAAACGATGACTTCTCGGGCGGGTCCGGGGCAGCGGGCGCCTCCGTAGAGAGGGGCCGGGTTGTTACACAAGCGCGTGCGCCTTTGCTCGCCCGGGCCACATAATGTTGAGCAAAAAGAAAAGTCTGTCCACTCTCCCCAGTTACCATCAATAGCACAAGAACCTGTGTATAGTCAGAGAGAAGATAGTTGCATTAGTTACAGTATATGAAACCTGTTAGTTAAAGGTTGATGTGTGTGTGTGTGTGTGTGTGTGTTTTGTATCTTGTTTAGTAGTTTGGTAACCGAGGCAACTTAAAGGGACTGGGTTAGGGTTTTATATGAAAACTTCTAAGTATTTGTGTACTGTTTGTTTTATCATTTTAAGAAGCACATGTGGCTGTTAAGTAGATTTGATGTGTGTAGCGTTCATGAGGCATGGTGTCTTTAAGTGTGTAATGTACTTCGTAACGATGGTGTGAAGTTAGTAAAATCCAGAGCCAAATAGGCGAGAAGGAGAACCCCTGTCCAACACCATACCCTTGCCCCAGTCTTTCCTTACCCAATGGCCTAGATAAATCTGGGTCAACCAATAACCTTGATAAATCTAGGTCACCCAATGGCTCAAATATATCTTAGTCACCCAATGGCCAAGAAAGATCGAGGTCATTGTTCTATCCGAGAAGATATTGTGGCCACTTATGTGAAAATGTTTCCACTCTCAAGGGCACAGCATACCACTTGAATCGGTACAGATGCGTTAATATCCATTTATACGACGGAATTGACAACCCTGCAGAAGTTGTTTCAAAAATTGCAGGTGCAGCAATTTTTTGCCCTAAAATGTACATGTATGATTACGAAACATGAAGTGGACATGGAGGGAGTTTCTGTACAGATATGTACATGGAGGACCTATTTGGCTCTAGAAATACAACACTGCATAAAGCTATAGATTTAACAGGACACGAAATGTTTCATTGCCATAGAAACTGAGCATCTGGCCTTATTGATCAGAAAAATCAACAGCGGTGGACTGAATTTTTGTGCGGAATTTCTTCTGATTCAAACCAGTTGAAAAAAACATAAGGAGGTGACTTGATAAGCCCAATCGATGAAAGATTAAATAAAAAAACTTAACTGATCAACAAAGAGTTTACAGTATTGTTTCAACTATTGCCGTTACTTTTATATATCAAAGATCCCGATGTCTAAATCGGAAGTAAGGCTTTGCAATTATTCGATCAATCACTCGCCGCTTTTGGTAAATTTAGATTTTTGAGACAGTTGAAGACCCAACACTTAATACGATACAAATCTGCATTCTCATTCCTGCAATCTATGGCAATGTGCAGTGCCGCATGTCAAAATAATTGTCAACATAAATGCATCACCCAAGCTGCAAGAGGTCACTTCCGCACTAAATCCCGGGCAGTCAGCACCGCCGAAAGCAGGGGGTGGAGAATCGCAAGCGCGCGTGCGTCGTTGTTCGCCGGGGCCACAAGTTCTTGAGCAGGCCCCGAACTCCGTCCATTGGCCCCAGTTGCCATTTACAGCACAATTACCTGAGAGAATTAAGATAGTCGGACTGTTCAGACAAGAAAGATTTTAGACGGAAATCGGGGAAACTGGCGTAAGCCGAAAAATGGCTCATCAACAGACCCCATTGCAATTTCCAGTCGAAAACAGTTCTCGTCTGATTTGACCTTGCCTTCCCGTTAATTTTCCATAAAACAGTTAAGGCCAGAAATTAACCCTGAGAGGAAGAAGAAAGAGGAAATATACCAGTAATATCCAGAAAATGAGAACCCAATTAAAGCTTATCAGAGATCACCATTTCAGAATCCCTCTCCTCTCTCTCTCTCTTTCCCTCTCCCTCTCTCTCTCTCTCTCTCTCTCTCTCTCTCTCTCACACACACACACACACACACACGTCCACAAACGAGCGCTCGCATATCTTTCCAACTCTTACTCGTACTCATGCATATGCTTATTCAAAAACCCCATTTGCAGTAATATATGGAGGGCAAACTTCCGCTCCGGAATTCGTGCCCTACTAACCAAGATTACAGGCGATCGATTCAGTGGAGGGTCCGGGACAGGTGAGTCCCCCAAACAGAGGAGCAGGAGAATCACAAGCGCGCGTGCGTGTCTGCTCGCCAGGGCCACAAGGCGCTGAGCATGCGCTGAATTCAGTCCATTGACCCCAGTTACCGTTGATGGAGCAGGCGCCTGATGGATAGAAAGCGAAAGTAAACAATGAAACAGTGAAATGTATACAGCCTCTTTTTCACTCTCGCGCTCGTTTCTTTTCTTCTCTTTCTTCTTCTCTCCCTCTCTTTCTCTCTCTCTCTCTCTCTCTCTCTCTGTCACACACACACACACACACACACACACACACACACATCTCTCCAACTTGTCTCCAACACCCTCACGCTGTTACATTTTATATTCATATTGTCACATAAATTCGAGTACATACATGACCAAACACGCATGAGCGCATCATTTTTCCCCATGTCACTCGTATGTTTTTATGTATACATGCAGGCCCAATTTGCACAAATATACCGAGGACTAATTTTAGCTCTGAAATCATGACCAACATGTACTAACCAAGATTACAGGAGATCGATTCAGTGGAGGGTCCGGGACAGGTGAGTCCCCCAAATGCAGGTGCAGGAGAGTCACAAGCGCGCGTGCGTGTCTGCTCGCCGGGGCCACAGGGCGCGGAGCATGCGCTGTAATCGGTCCACTGGCCCCAGTTCCCGTTGATGGAGCATGCGCCTGATAAGATGGAAAGCAATTAAGCTATGAAAATGCGAAATGCACACAGCCTTCCTTTCTCTCTCTTTATTTTACACACACATGCACACGCACGCACGGACACACAAACAAACACAGTGACACACACAAAGACCCGCAAAAATCTCCGAAACACCTTCTAGCTCTCACATGTACTGCTATATTTTAATTCATACTCCCCCTAACGAGTATCCTTTAAACGTACACACAAACACAGGAGTGCAGGCGCACATCTCCTCAACCCGTTTTTTTACGTTAACAATATTCTTAGGCCAATAAAACCATGGGCAAACTTCCGCTCCGGAAGTCGTGACCTACTAACCAAGATTACATGAGATCGATTCGGTGGAGGGTCCTGGGCATGTGAGTCCCCCAAATAATGGAGCAGGAGAGTCACAAGCGCGCGTGCGTGTCTGCTCGCCGGGGCCACAGGGCGCGGAGCAGGTGCTGAATTCAGTCCATTGACCCCAGTTACCGTTTACGGAGCAGGCGCCTGATGGATAGAAAGCGAAAGCTAATAGCGCAACTGTGAAAAAGCACCTAAGCATTATAGAAGTCTGCTATAGAATCAACAGACCTTAAGAGTATAAAACATTCAGTGTGCCTCGTCCGAAACTTTGATCGAAACTTTTGTAACAATTCACACGATACAGCGAACATAAAAAACATGTCTAAAATATATTCTCGAGCTTACCATTTTGACTGAATAAATAAAATAGTGCATTGTGAGTAAGTGCAATTTTAAGCCCAATTCCCAGGGAGAATTATATTCCCCTGCACGTTTGCATCAGTATACAAAATTTGCTTTTGGTCTGGAGGCCACAACCTTTTAAAGAGTAATTCTAAAGACCGGTTTCGGCCCTGACTTTGTAGCCACCTATACGTTTTGATTGAAGGCAAATCCAGTAGGGTCCACCTTGCAACCCATAGCCCAGCCGAACTGTGGCTCATTTTAGTGACTAAATTAGCCCCGTATGGTTCCCTGGGCAGTCTAGCTGTCGTGGATGTATGCTGTGCAGTGTTAGCCAGTTGATGACATAAACTTAAAGTCCTGCTGACGTGCATTGGTCAACACTAGCATTTAAAACGAAGAAACAAGGACAACTGCAGCAAAACAAAACTAAAAAGAAACTATTCTTCTTATCTTAACCAGCAAACTGCAAGGGCGGTGTTGTACTTACCTAGATTACAAACAGTCTCTTCGTAATTTGGGCCAACACAGGGCCGTCCTCCAAAAGCTGGCGCTGGCGAGTCACATGACCGACCACGTGTTTGAATACCGGGTCCGCACGGAGCAGAGCAGGGAGTCCACACACTCCAGGCGCCATATCCACCATCCACGGGACAGCTTCCCACGGTGCAAGATGTCGTATCGACGTTTGATCCGGGACACGAGGCGCCTCCGGGGGAAGGTGGAGGGTTGTTGCATTCTCGGAAACGGTTCTGTTCGCCAAGGCCGCATGTGGCGCTGCAGAGGGTCCAAGCGCCCCAACCTCCCCAGTTGCCATCAGTGATACAGGGAGCGATGAAACAGTCGCGGCCTTCATTCGCCGGACCTTAACAATAATAATAATAATAATAATAATAATAATAATAATAATAATAATTAAGAGTAGGTGTAGTTTGTAACTGTGCTTTAGGCGTGATTTACTTGCACTGACGATCAATATATGTCACGTTAATTATATGTATATAAAGCCAAAACCAAATTTTGGATTAAGTCGATTTATGTGACGTATATACATGCATGTACGCAATAATCACTTACAGTTTAGACTACATATACTCGTAAAATGAGAAAAGCAATATTAGGGTGAGAAGTTTTATTGACACTCATTTTTGATAAAAACAATTAAGTTTATCACTGTATTATATCTCGAAATGGTACTAGTACATTGTCATAAATGCCTTTTTACAGGGGTGGAAAATACAAAAATATTGCAATAAATATACGTTGAAACATTTAACATAAAAGGTACAACCATTTAACGTTGTTGAATAATATTTAAACATTAATAATAATAATAATAATAATAATAATAATAATAATAATAAGTCAAAATCTATTATCACCTGGACAAGATAGCCCGCCATTTTGAGGAGCGGGGTTGTCACAGAGGCGCGATCTAAATTGTTGTCCTGGACCACAGGAGGCGCTGCAGGCGCCCCAAGACAGCCACTGCCCCCAGTTACCGTTAATTGGAACTGAAAAAATTAAGTTAAAATACGGCAATCGATATTTTGAAATGCAGAATAACGTGGTTAAGAAATGGTGAACGTTATAAAGTTCAATGACTCAGTCAACTTCATATGGTTAGAGGCTTAGGGACCATTCTCAGACCCTGTCGCACTAACTTTGGTTCGATCTAGACATGTTAGCCGCTTAAGCTGAAAGCAATTTAGCGAGAAACCCCTTGGAGATGGACCGATCCTGTTAGATCGTTCTAGGTATGGGAACCCAGTTATAGTTGCAACTAATCTCTGTGAAGAATAAACATAGTAATTCCCCGTTATCTCCATGGTGTTCTCTATATGCAAAACCGCTCAGAATGCAAATTTCCTTAAAAATTCCAAAAGTCCCATTTAATTTTTATATATTCGAAAAGTTACTTATCTTTTCCTATGAAGACCATAAAAACAATATAAAAACCTCAAAGAAAAGTACCCGCGATGATCCATTTGAATTGCACAGGAAGACGAGGCGAGCCAAATGACGTCGATATGACGTCATCTGCCTTCTGGTTAGGCTTTTTGGTACAAATTGTTAGGATTTCATAGTGTTAGTATCTTATTCTCTCTTTGCCATCTTCCTAGACGGTATCCATATTCTCTGAACAACTGATTATCTGCCTAATAGTGGGGTACTTGTACTCATGATAAGTATTTATGAAGGAATAACTGTACTTGGTGCGTCCGCCCCGTTCTAATCTGATGTTGACTAGATTAAGTACAGGTAAGTACTGTAATAAACAATCGTCTGATATAATTTCCAAGGGTAGACAATATGCAAATATCATTTAATTGCGTACTCTGTGGTATATGCAAATATACCTAGTTCAGACATGCTCATTATTTTTTCATTATCTTTAGTGATAAGGAAGAGAGTGAGTGCACCTTAAGTAGCCTCATGCATTTAAACTGTACTACAGTGTTGGGGCAAGGATTAAGGCACACGTACCCTACTGAGTACACTGCACGTGTAAAAACTTTGTAAATCAAAACGAGATCCAGTGAAATTGTGTTAGGTGAGAAAGGACAATTGTGCCGGAAGTGACGTTGGACTTACCAATGCAAGGTTGAAGGTTACAGGGGCGGATCTCCTCGTAGGGGCCCTGGCACGTCTTGGAACCCTCTCCAGACGGGGGAGGGCTGTCGCACAGCCGGGTACGCACCTGTATAGCCTCGCCACATGTACGGTCACAGAGGGACCAGGGTGTCCACTGCCCCCAACCTGCGTCCACTAGAACAGTATTAAATCCAATGTGTTGATATAAACATGTAGGCCTACTGGTAAGCTAGAAACAGGGAGCTTTCAATATTGAAGAAAGGATACAAAAAGAATGGCAATGTATGAATAAATGACAAAGAAAAGGAGCTAATCACTTTGGTAATTAACGTTTAACTTCATCCAGAAAAATATGTACTGTAGTACTTGGCATCCAGTTACTTCACAGGTACCTGCTTATCAAAAAAATAATAAATAAATAAATTATAAGAATTAATAAATTAATGAAAAAACAAATAAAATTACAAATGTAAGTAAAATAAATGAATAAATAAATAGGTTAATTAAAAAAAAAACGATTAACAGGAGACTTCATTGATATTTCCCCCCAAAAATCAAATCTCACCGTGACAGATAACTTGCGTCAAATTAGACCGGATTCTTGCGAGACCTCCGAAATCGCTGACGTAAAGCACGTTACTTGACGGGTAGGCAATGGTCTCCAGCTCCGCCAAGACGGCGTCGCCGACACCGATCGCTACAACCGTTATTCCTAGAGCGTGGACAGTAGGAGCGACGTCAACCACGGGCGGTCCGGTGTTTGACCGTCCGTCGGTGATGACGAAGGCGACTTTTCTTGTCCCTGAAATGAAAATATGTGATAACTGAGTATCGCTTCATTCATGATTATACTGATGATAACGACATTCACTTCTTTCATAGCGCATTACATTTAAATGCACTTTATAAGTATGAAATATAAAATTCAAAAGAATTACCGGTACAATACTAAAATGATAGACACCTCATTTTAAAGTTTATTCATAATAGACAATATTCATAACACTTTAAAACGATATGTTTTTAGAGAGACTTCAAAACCATCAAAATCACTTTTAGCTCTGATATACATGCATTTGTTCCATTATATTGGGCCATATTGGATTAAGGACCTTTCTGCATAAAACTGCGCATCGCCATCCAAGTAATTCCTTAGTGGCCTACTAAAATCTTAGTGAGTTTGAAATATCATCTACTAGTTGTGGTATTCTGGTGGTTTGTCGCCATTCTGACTAGGAACGTTTCGGACCAAAAAGCAGCACAACCATGGTTTAGACACAGTAGTTATCCATCTCTTATCTCCTTATAACCTTTATCTGATGACGAAAATAAAAAAAAAATCACTAGAATAATAAAAAAAAAAACTCTCGATCCAGGTGATTTTTCTGAGAGAATCAGTTCGATTTACCTTGCCTCGACCCCAAATTCGGATCCATGATGGCGTCTCTCATCTTCAACAGGCCGTCACCCGTGTTGGTCACTCCGCCGAACCACTGCATGTCCTTAATGGCCTGAAGCAGCTCGTCTTTGTTTTGGTATCTGTTTAAGTTAAACATCACCTTGGCGTCGCTGGAATACCGAACCAGACCGACCTAAAAGAACAATAAAACGTGAACAAGGGTGGGATGTGCTTACACAGTTTATACCTGTACAGTAACCGTACATGTATAGGACAATAAAATACATAGCGGGTGAAAGTATTATCTTCCAAAAGAATAAAACAGAGGATTGCGTAAAAATATTTATACCTTATTTGTAAAGTATCATATCACTATAAAAGTACGTTTATAATTTTACAATAAGGAGTAAGAGAGAGCATGTGAGCAATTAGGTTAAAATTTATCGTTTTTCGAGTGACAATTAAATAAATGATAAAAAAAGAAACCGACCTGAAGGTTGTCCGTGCCTATATCGAAAGGTTCTATGACGGACGACATGAAGTTAGTTGCCTGAAGTAGAAAAATAAAATCTAAAGATGTAATTTTTAATCCTGACACGAAATTTTATTTGAACCTGGCTGTTTCGGGGAGGGGTAGGGGGGGGGTCTCAGAGCGCATTCAAAACAAATATGGCCGACCCACTTGAATGCTTGTTGCGTATTACCCAGGGGGAATCTATTCAGTGTCTAATAGGGAATTAAGCGGCAAACTTTTAAGTGGGTCTGTTAGTCCACTGTTCTGAATGCACTGTCAGTCACGTGCTTTGGACTAGTTTTGGACGTATATACAAGTATAACCTCTTCTCCGCTTTCCGTCCAAAAGAATGTACAACTAGCAAAATAAATCAAAACAAAATCAATAACTTTCTACATCTCTATACCCTACATATTAAAGCTAAATGGCTGAATTGATATGTGAAAAGCTAACTTTGTTCTTTGTTTAAAAAATACCTGTTCCCATCCAGCGGAGCCCACGCTAGCGGATCCATCCATAACAAAGAATGCGTCGACCGGCGTGTACACACAGTGTTCGCCAATCGGAATCTCGATATCTAAAACATGGAATGGTGTAGTGAAAAGTGGAAAATCATAAAAATAACGTGAAAGCAATTAAGTTTAGGAGGAATCACCATATCTAAAACTAGGAATACTCTACGAAAAATAGCAGTGGTATAAAATAAATGGCATAAAAATCTGAGCGGAGTCTCTCGACACATACTGTACATAGTAACGGTTGTCCTTATAAGTTTTATTCTATCATTTACAAACGGTTACTTTGATTTTTTAGATACGATAGAACTTGCCAAAGTGCTATATATTGAGAGAAAGAAATCTACTTCGTTAACTTACTCTGAGCACGCGCAAGGCAGACGAGTCCAAGAAACACAATGACGAGAAACCTGAAATGTTTGCAATACATTATGGTATATGTAAATGATGCACAAAAAATAAAAGATAAATAAAATAAAACAAAAATGTGTATGAAAAGTTCACTCAAAACAGGAAAATACTGCGTCTAATTCAGCAATATTATTATTATTAAAAATCCAAGCATTTGCTCAAACAACATTGAAATAGAACACATTTAAAGATATTCTACTGGAAAACGCAGCCACGCTTGCAGAATAAACCGCAGCATTTACACAGATTATCGCACTTTCAGTCGCCCACGCATCTGGAAATGTTGCCCTCAGATCAGGCACGGCAGACATATCATTGTACAGGATTTGGATTTGTTCGAGTGCCGTGGGCTGAATTAATAAAATGAAGACTGACTTAGGGCTCAGTTCTACTGACACTATCGGTCTACGTATACCGATTCAATTCCGCGGGGAATCTAGCTGAATGGAATCAGATTAAAATATAAACACGCCTCTTCTCGTTTCCAACGTTCTCGTACTATTCCCAGTCTTTAAATTATTTTTCCACTAAGCAGTGCACGTTTAAATCACGTCACTGACGCAAATGTTCTGTGTCAAGCATTCACAATTGTTTTCTATCACTTTTAATTGCTGTTGATTTTACCATATTAAAGGCATCTATAGTATAAAACTATAAAAATAATGGGGCAAGTTAAATTATGCAAATATTACACTAAATATATGCGTGACTCAGTACGTAACTGAAATATTAACTTTTTCGTAGAATTACCTAAAAACACCCCTTTGTATCATTAAAAAGGAGCCATACCGTCCTTGCGTGATGAAAACTACTATCTACTAGTAGACCACACTCCAAAAACAATTACCAGTCCCACACAAAGCAGCAGAGACGCTGAGATAGGGCAATTTGTTTTACCGTACTTATATGATAAGAAACCCATTACTGTTGGCTTACTAGGTGAATATATAATTTGCATTAATGATTTCAGTGTGTACCAGGAAATGCGGTATGAATGACAGGCTAAGATGATTTTTGAATGTAGAATAAGGTCAAAACTGGAGTTTTTAACAAGAGCAAATTATATTACTCTTCAAAGTTACAGTTATTATTTTATATGTGTATTTTAAAGTAGACGTAGATAAGTGAGTTTAGAGGTATGTCAATAAGCGAAAATTCAAAATGAAAAGTGATATGTTGACGAACAGAAACACTGTTAAAATGGCAAATAGATGCCCCGGCAGATAATTCCATACAAACAGCTAACCAGCTGACCGACTCTCTAACTACAGTATACATGTATGAAGCGCTTATTTAATAAATCAATTTATATTTCGATGAAATAATACTTCAATAAATGTGGAATAGAAATATGGCCAAAAGCTTCACACAATCTATTATCTTGGGACAGACATTGCTTGTCGCTTTTAAAGTCGTCCTGCCAATCGGCCAATGTTACCTTGCCGCCATCTTGACTTTGGTCACGTGACGTTCTCAACCTTCTCACTGTTCACAACTCCACCCGTCCGACGTCACGCTGAAAAGAAAAAAAGAAAACAGTTTTAATATTTTGTATGATTAGGCAAACGCAAACAACTGAGGAAAAGCACAGAAAACGTATCAACCCCAATACTTACCGCACGAATAAACATGTACGCCTACCCTGTAGTAAAATAAAACTGTCAACAATACCATGGGGTAAATTGTTCCTCTTTACAGACCTACATGTATCATCCACTTTATGTACCCCAAAAATTTTCAATAATCCCTCATTTCATTTCGTTTCTGCAAAATTTCAACTTACAGCGTACGTGCCAACCCAGAATGGACTGCTCAAGAACACAAGCGCGCATTTTGTACGAACTATTTAACAGAACTCTCGATGTGACGTCAAATGTTAATTTATAAGTCATTTGTATCACATTAAAATTGAATAGTCTATTAAAATAATTGTAGTACGGTACAAGTCACTTGAAGGACCATTTAACAGAAAAAAAATCGTTCGAGACTGAGGCTGGGCGTTACAGACCTAGAATAAAATTGACCCAAATTATGACAATGACAATAGGTGTCCTCCACTCTTCTAATGATTTTAACGACACCAAGAGTATGAATTTGTTTGAAAGATAATTGGCATGAGTATACCTTTATTATCGTAATTTGAAGCATTAGATGTGAAGGTAATGTACGACGAATGAACTCGGGGTTAGCCTGAACGTCGCTCGTTAATTAGAAGGCGTAAAACAACGCGTATTAGTGTCAAAGTTTTATGATGCAGTAATTAGTCACCATCGTGTAATTCACCGAAACAGACGGTAAATATGGGGTTAAAAGGTGGGTGACATCGAGTTAGGGAGAACGTTCACGGCACTTGGTCATCATCCCTGACCGCGGCCTTTTCAGACCCATTAAAAGAGCCAGTCAAGGACATCACGTGATATACCCTACCGCGGTCAGTAAAGGTGAAACAATTCAAAATAATTTACCGGGAACGTCCCTTAGACGTCCTCTGAGGTTAGGGTGGGTCCCATTGAAGCATAATAATTTCTAAGTCGCGCAAATAGTAAACAAGGACATTTTAACTATAAAAAGTAGAGCACGGGGATGGAAAATTACCTTGGTTTTGTCTCGTTTGTTTTACGTAGGCCGTTTTATTTGTTACACATGTAGTGGGGGGGGATCGTTGTGGCCCCCTTGATTCCTTAATATTTTTGGGTGGGTCGAGTATATTTGTTCAGACAGATATGTCGGAAGTGTTGGTATTTGGGGCTATTCTTACCCAAGACTCATCGTATTCGTTATTATGACGTTTTGACGTAGAGTAAAGAACTGAGAAAACTAAGAATCCGTGACATGACCTTCGTTTCGCTCAATATATCAAACGAAACCTGTCACATGAGGTTAAGTAGGCAAAGATAGGCTTTTAAATGCGACACTTCTTCCCTTAAAAGGGGGGTGACATCGAGCTGGTATGACGTCTGTTGTCATTACGCTAAGAAGATGAGGTTGCTGTGCGCATTTGAAACGAAAACTGTAAGTGACACGCGTTTTAATTGGAATATATCACATTACTAAAATATGCTGATAAGCACCGCAAATCAGTAGGAGAAAACGTACATATGTATATATGTATATGCGGATGGGTGCCAACCACACGAAACATGACAAGCGATTACGGTCACACATATTTGCCACATAAGTTTTAGTTTATTTTTAATGACGACAAGGAAATAAAACGCGCTGTCCTTCAGGTTAAAGTACAGCGTTTAAATATAAGGCGACGCTCGTACCCCGGACAGCGGTCATCAAGATAACAACGAACCACAATGGTCATTAAAAAAAAACACGTTGTTAACACAACTCATAAATGGTTCTACAGAATAAAATTGAGGGAGTTAAACTGAAAATGTAACATGTTGATTTAGGAGTGTTGAAATACATGCCGATATTTGTGGTCAGAATGATCTCGATGCAATTATCGTCACGGTTAACAACTGACGCTTTTAACATACTTTCTTCTTTTTTCTCAGCTATTATTCGCAAGAAACAGACTGAGCTTTAAATTTTCCTTGCTCGATAAAAAAAGAGTTCATCTCATTAAACTGCTTAGAATACAGATTGAAGCACCACCGGTGCTTTTTAAGAATATATATTTTGTTGACATTGTAATCAGTCAGTCGCCAGCTAAGCACTACGCCTCTTTTTCGTTCACAAGCTTCAAAGCATCTGCTGTACCGATGTGATCATTACGACGTCACGTAAGACGCTTTGGTAACTACATGTATCCTTTTTAATGTAATGGACGTCCTTGGTGTGTCTATTTATCTACGCACCAGGAATGTCCATATTCAACGGTACCAGTAGATCCATGGTAGCGTTGATAAGTAACAGTGTCATTTATATCTTAAGACATACCAAGTGGTACTGTACCTCTACACCGTACGTGGTTTTCATCAAATACGTTAGTTGTAAGTTCTTTAAACAAGAAAATAGGGGACAGGGGCCTAGTTGAAAAGTACCACGACTACGCCGTGTGCACCAATTCAGAATTTACATATACAATTTAAATTTTAATGCAGGAAAGTGAGAACTGTGGCGGGCTTCTTATCTTTTTATTTCATTCCTGAACTTGGCTGGGAAACTAGTCGTTATCTTGGGCCAACGCTATACCTTTGATTTATGAATAAATAATGGCATTATGTCTGTATTTATAAGACCGTGTCTAGTCGTTAATTGATGCACACCTTAACGGCTCATGTGACATTTCTCACGTACATGTGAATTTCACGTATAACCGAACGACAAGGTCAATCATTGAGTTACAAATGTAAGGAAATAAACCAACTATAACAATGAAACTTGTTTATCTTACGGGTGCACTTCAACAAATGCCGGTGCGTGTTCTTATAGAGCCTTTTTTATTTGGCGTTTTGAATTATGTTTTTTTAATTTTATCTACTCCTTGAGTTGAATGACCTTGAGAAGTGATACGTTTGTATAAAGATAAAAAACGGGGCGATATTCCTCTATTAGGACATATTTCTATCTGCTATCATCGCGGTAAAACCACACACCTATGAATATTACTGTGGTCGACTGGTGAAACAAAATGTTTTCACCGCATTAAATAAATTCGATAAGACATCTATTTTTCTATTTTTATATCAAGCCCCCTCATAAAATATATATAAAAAAATTATACATGTGAAAAGTGACCAAGCCCAAAAGAATTTTTACTGAGCTGAGATATTTAGAATTGCACTTTATTAAATCAGGCAGAAGGTTAATTCTCGACTTGTGTGCACATAACGTAATACAACACAGTGTATGGTATTCCATATGTATATTTTAGAAAAAAGTCAAGATTTAAAACGACTAGTAGTCATTTAAGACAAATTCCTATTTTGCCTTATACACCTACGGGGTAAGGACGCCTGCACTATTGCAGAGTATTTTGATAACAGGTAGTTGCCATTTGCATTTAGAAAATCACATCTTTCACATATACAAAATCAGACGAACCTTTTATTTTTAATCAGTTATCCAATGCATTTTAAACCTATGACAACCCTTTGTTTGTGATTTCTTAAAATTCTCATAACATACACATTCCAAACTACTTGCAATTAATTATGAATTATCCAAGAACTACGACGCCAGTTATAAAACTATCCGATCTTAGTAATTTAGCACCCTGTGTGTGATGACACCCATTTTCACCGTTATGTTTAATTTATATATATGTCCGTTAAGATGGACTATCTACACAAAAATGTCTCTGTCCATGGTTAATACATATTCATATATTTAATTTTGTGCTGCTTGTTTTACCGTATTATTTTGGCCAGCAATTTTCGATTCCTTAAACAAATACATAAAAATTAAGTTTTCGGAGGCCCACCGAACCCGCATGTGTTATACGGGACCACCAAATCAAATTAAAAAAAAAATCGTTCTTGTCTGTTTAATTTATCTTTCCATTTCCACGTTAGAATATTTATCACGTTGGCAATAATCTAATTAACTGAAAATTACATACGTACTTTCACTCTCATGAGATGTACTGTAGTTCTAGGCTTCGCACACGATGTTTATAGACAGATAAATGAGTCTTGAAATGTTAATTCTTGGGAAGTGCGTTTTTGTTTTTCAAAATTCACTTTTCTTTTAAATGGGAAATGTTACATTAACTTTCTTCAACCTAGTTATGCCATTTTGATTGTGGCGCCCTATATTTTTAATGCAATGTTTAAAAGATAAGCGGCATACCGAATACCTTTTTCACGATAAAACCATTTATCAATGTTATCTTTATAGTTTAATCCAGAAAAATGTTACGCCGGACATAGATATCCCTAATACCACAGAGATGACGTAAAGATCCTACATTCCAGAGAAACAATTTAGGGCACAAAATAAAATGTCTCTTTCTACAGAAAGTCCTTTTGGAAAAAATACCGCAACAAATAATTATATTAATACTAACTCCTAATATCAGAGTTAGATAAAAACGACAGTAGAAAAGCATTAAGATGTTGACCACTCTAATTTTCATTCCCTTTCTACTCAAACATACTTATTTCATACGTTTTTTCATTGTTTACAATGAAACCTTTCTCCTTCACTTTCTCTATAAAATGAATACGCCAATAACTCACCTGTCTTCGGGTACCGTATTCTCTGAGTGCGCGCTAGCGACTGAGTTTCTCTCGCCTAATCCCTACCTCTGTCAGGGACCAGACCTAGTTTAATATTCAGCATAATTAAGGGGTGAGGAGATGGGAGATGATATCTTTTTTTCTGATATGCAGCGAACGCAGTAATTTCGGCTAGTGATAATACGTGGAATGAAGACAGCGCAGGTGCAGAGTGTCGCCATCTGGCGGTATGTTTAGCCAATTGTAACGTAAAATGTTGACGGAAGAATGTTCCATGGTTTCACACACACACACACACACACACACACACTTTTTCTATCCTTTTCTTTTTTTTTTTCCCAAAATCGCGCTCTTGGTATTTCCGGGTCTGAATATACTGTCTTTATAAAAATAAAAATAATAACTTTTTTTTATTATTCACGAGATTTACAACAATCCCTGCGGTTGGTAAGGGGTTGGGGGTAAATTTGTCCTGGGGGAGGGGGTTGTAGTGAGGAAAATGGTGAAGTGTGTG